TGTCTTTGTGGTGTTCCTGCCATGCCTGCTACATGAGGGGGGGGTCTACGCTTTTGCATGGCCTCTGTCTTTGTGGTGTTCCTGCCATGCCTGCTACATGAGGGGGGGGTCTACGCTTTTGCATGGCCTCTGTCTTTGTGGTGGCAACATTTAGCTCAAACCTCAATCTTCTTTTAGCCTTTTTATCTCGTGATTGTCAGCTGTCTGTCACCCAGGCGTTCTTGCAATAATATATGAAAAATATGTTCCCAAAGCAGTTTATCTAAAAGCCAGTTAAGAAACATATACCCTCTGTTCAATTTTCTATCACACTGGCCACTGGTGACGGAGAAGAGGTACGGGGCTGTGGCCGGCAGTCACCTTCATGAAGGAGCAGCTCATCCGACCGACGCTGCCTCCACCCGGAGCCCCCCCTTTCTGGGCCACTTACATTCAGCCTCTGAATCCTATTTTTAACCATATAAAGATATTTCCAGCCTTCTTTTACTCCAGTGTTTCCCAATCCGGTCCTCGGGGAGCCACAGACAGTCCACGTTTTCGCTACCTACCGGGAACTGGGGGGGAGCAAAAATGTGGGCTGTCTGGCAGTGAACTGGGGGGGAGCAAAAATGTGGGCTGTCTGTGGGTCCCTGAGGACCGAGTTGGACACACTGTTTTAGTCTGTTTAGGTCTATTTATGAGAAACTTTCTACATACATTTTTTAATCTCTTGTGGTGAACTGAACAAGTTAGACATGCTTGAATTCACTTCTTAAAGGCTGATATTTGTTGTTGAAGATTATCATGTTGTTTAGGACAACAGTGGTTATGAACAGACCCTAATGTTATACTGCAGAGTGAAGGACTTAAGCTGAATTTCTCCAGTAAAAGTAATAAATGGGTTGTTAATTGCTTTAGATAAGGGCAACAGCTAAAGAGCGCATGAAATGTTTGTGTGATCAGATGTGTAACATGGTATTACTATTACATAGTAGCGTTACAAGTTCTGTGCATGGATCAGCAAAATATACTGTCCCTTTGGTCGTCTTATAGCAGGACATTACTGTCAAAGACGTAAATAATTATAATGGTCAATTTTTATAATGAGTTTGAATGGTCTTACATGTTAGTTTTGCGTTTGAAAAGCTTGAGTTGTCCATGCAGGTTTACTGCTTGGCTATTTTGTTGGAAGTGAACGGATTTGTCAAAATCAAAGCGCTACAGGAGGACCTAGCGATTGTCACACAGCCACGAGACAAATGGCCTGTTTTGTCACGTCGGCTGGGATTATCTCATCCTCTCGTTTTCATGCTGTGCGGTCTGCAGATTCACCGTCAGCGAGCTCGACAGTTCCGTGTCAGACCTGCTGAGCAGCTGCTGAGCCACACGAGAGGTCTGGCTGTACCAGTCTTTCGAGTGAAGCTACCGTATCAGTAATTAACAGATCTGGCTGTTAGCTTATTAAATCAAAGCTGAGCCAGCTGTATTTATCAGTGTTTTGTCGGTGTTTTCTGGGGACCCGCAGACCGTCCACATTTTTGTTCCCTCCCAGGTCCCAACACACCAGTACCAGGTATTCCATGTTCTCGACTTTTAGATTTAAGTCTGCTGGGAGCGGAGAGGGAACAAAAATGTGGAACGAAAAAGACAGTTACATAAAAAATCTATAGGCTGTATTTATATCTAAGCTAATAAAGAATGTAAAGTTCAGCTGAGGGTTAAGGTTAGTAATTGTGCTCAAGAGAGACCTTGGGCGGCTCTACTGATGTGAAGNAGTTCAGCTGAGGGTTAAGGTTAGTAATTGTGCTCAAGAGAGACCTTGGGCGGCTCTACTGATGTGAAGATGACCTTTCTAAGGATTTTCTTAAAGGAACTTCTTGTACATCAATGTCCATTTCTGCTCGCTCATCCTTCCTCATCATCTACAACAGCAGCTGAGGAAGATCAGAATGCGATGAATTTCTCGAAGATCTTAATGGCTAACACAGCCTCACACCGCTTTAAGTAACGTCACGTCAAACGTCACGCCGCGATCGGCTCGCCAGAGCAAGTCCGCAACCGTGAGCGACGATGATCACCTGATCTCTGACAAATGGAAACAGCTGTCAGGAATGACCAAAGCTGATGCATTAACCATGTGATCATCTCAATGGTTACAAGCTGATAACAGAATATCTGCCCATTTGCTGAATATAGTGTCAAAAACAAATTTAAATCACTTAAAAAGGTACGTGTGTCCAATACTAGCTAAGAGGCCAACTGGCCGATTTCACTCTTTTACCACGTCACGTTTCGTTCAGGCTGAGGATGTTGCCTTACACCAGGATGAAGTCTCTGTTCAGGTCCTGAGCATACAGTGTACACTACCAGTCAAAAATTTTTGCATTTATTTAAAAACTGTAGATTTTTTTTTTCTTGTCAAGCACTGGAAAGTTAAGTGAACAACTATAAATGAAAATATAAGTCAAATAGATCAAGTTTCCTTTATAACATGGACAGAGTATGTAAGTGACGTCCTATTAAGTGGTTATGTGGTGATGGCAATCAAATTCTAGGCCGTCCTTTAACTTTAATATACTAGTTAACTGTTTCATCCCATGAAATAGAGGAGAATTTAATGTCTCTTGTAGAATGAAAGCCCCCGATTTCCTCTGCTGTTATAACTGCTAGTGGTTATTTTGAATCAAAGATATGACATTTTCTTGCAATAAAGGGACTCAAATGGGGAACATACTGTAAATGTATATATTAGCAAAAAATCTTGAGTTAATATTCTTAGTAAATGTTCAGTAACATGCAAATGTAGAAAATCTCAGTGTGTGCAAAAACTTTTGAATAGTGATTTTAGCCACATTTGTGGTGCAGTAAACACAGTTTGACACTGAGTAAAGTTCCATATACTTTTAATGAGTCAAACCCTCCAAGGGACATTGAAACACACATATTGAAATGGTCGGACTACAGCTATGTTCTTCAAACCTGCTCTATCTACTTCCCCCGTAACACAGGCGTGTGTATGCATAGCCTGTATTCTGTGCGTACACAGTGCGTACACAGTGCGTACACAGTGCGTACACAGTGCGTACACAGTGCGTACACAGTGCGTACACAGTGCGTACACAGTGCGTA